TTTATGAAAATATAGATATTGACGTTAAATGCCGCGAGTTTTGTGACAGCATCATTCGTTACAACGTTCGTACTTCGTAGCACAAAATCTAGAGCCAATTCAATGAAACTAATGACATATTTGAATTCAGCTTTTTACTGTAAATTCGTTGCAAAATCCTGGGCAAGTGAAAAATGTTGCTTTTTGTTGAGCAGTGTTATCGTAGATGTGAAGTTTTGCCGAGAGAATCAAATAATCCTAAATATTCAAAATACCTTATTTAGTATTTTGTCATTTATTGTAATTGAAAATACTAAAGACAAACTTCATTTCATAGCAAATATGACAACTATATTTAAACAGTAAACAATAGGAAACGTTTACTAAAAGTCTGCCCTCAAAATCTGAACAGAAACACAGTTCAGCGGGCAAGACTAAAACAACAAATGGCACTCTCTCTCACTCACGTAAAATGTTGATTCTAGCTGACAGCCATGGTAGGAAACTTTCCTTCATTGTGAGAGAGAAACTCCTGTCAAAGTTCTCAATTACAGGTATTTTTAAGCCTAATGCCACGATGGAACATGTAATTGAGAACTTAAACACTCAGACTAGATTTTTTACACAACAGGACACAATAGTAATTATAGCAGGGCAGAATGATATTAATTCAGGCAGTCACTTTAATGCAGAAAAACACTTCACAAAAATACAAGAGACTGCCAAATATACAAATGTAATCATGATCACTCTGCCCCCCTGGTACAACATTCCCATAAACCATGAAATTAAGATTGCAAGCCATCATATAAGACAGCACCTGAGAGGGACACCTATCACACTTGTTGATCTTGACAATCTCTCCAGAAAACATTTTACTCGGCATGGTGTCCACACGAACCAGATAGGTAAACAAAAACTAGGAACCATGCTCATCTCACACCTACTGGGAACCCCTGCCCCTTCCACCCCACATCCATCTCCCACACATTCTTCCGCCTCTCCATCCACAACCCTCTTACACACTCTGCATCTTTCACCAGCATTCAGTCCTCTCTTACCCCCACCAGTTCCTTCTCCTACTCCCACACTTCTCCTGCCCACTCCACATCCCTCATCTGCCCCCAGTCCTCTTTTACCAATGTTCGTTCCTATTCCTACACCTTCTAACCACCTCCTCACGTTTCTTTTCCTCTTCAGCCCCTTCACCTACTTTCACACTTCCCATCCCATTCGTACATATAACTTTTGTTGCAACCAAAAACCCACTCCTATATATAATCTGTAGCATCAAACAATGGCAGGAAAGCAGACAATACATAAAAATAAAAATAAACTATTTTCACATTCTTCACCAAAATGTACAGTCTTTGAAAAATAAACTCACTGATATAGAAATATTACTTATGGAGAAACTCAATCACATTTCGATAATGTGCTTTACAGAACACTGGCTAACTAAAGAACAATTAGATAACACATATGTACCAGGTTTCTCTCTAGCCAGCAGCTCATGTCGAAATATTAATAACGCACATCCTGCATTTTTATTAAAGATACTATTAGTTTTGTACCCTTCACCAGTCACACTCATCTTGTAAAAGAGAAAGACTTTGAAATATTCATCACTGACTGAACTACAATAAAAACATGGGTCTTATGGACTTATGGTCTTATCGCAGCCCTGCTGGGAATTTGAAAATATTTTTAAAAAATCTGGAAGTTATTCTAACAAAACTTCAAAAATACAGACTATAAAATTATTCTTTGCGGTGACTTCAATATAGATTGCCTCACACAATCCAGTAATGAAAATCAATTTAAAGATTTACTAAAATCATACAACTTACAAACAACCATAAATACACCAACCCGAATTTCCAAAAATAGTAGCACTGCTATAGATCAAATAATAATAGATGCAAATAACCATTGTTTTTCTGTTGCTACATTTAATAAAGGTTTCAAACTGCCCATTCCCATTCTAACACTTCAAACACAAACAAAAACCACAGACTGCTCAGACCACACTGCCCAGATTTTAACACTTCAAACAGAAACAAAAACCGCAGAATAGACAACTTACAAAGAAATCCATAACTATTCCCAAGGAATCATAATAAAATTTCAAAGCTTACCCAGATTTGAAAACTGGAATGAAGTATATAAGGAAACTGATAAAAAGGATAAGTTGAATTCATTCATAAATATATCCTTAAGACATTTCAATGCCATTTTTCCTCAAAAACTCAAAAAGATCCAAAACAAGAAAACTAAATCGTGAATTACCACAAGCATCAAAGTGTCATGTGAAAGAAAACACAACATGTATAAAAGACTAACAAATAATAAATGTAACTCAAACTTCATTTTATATCACAAAACATACACAAAACAATCCTAAAAAAAGTAATCAAGCAAGCAAAAATTATGATAAATGGTAAGTACATTGCAAATGCATGTTAATAAAACAAAACCACAGGGAACATTATTAAGAAGACTACAGCACCAAACTAATAATAACAGAAAAAAATGTAAGCTCTACTACAAAAACTAAATTCTACAATACTCACAAGAAATAGCTAATATATTCAATGAACACTTTTCACAAATTAGTAATAAGTTCATCTCTCAACACTCTCTAAACAATAAAAACACACCAACCAAACACTAATGTTACACAAATTGTAAATTCCATATTTTTATATGAAACCACCCCCACTGAAATTTTTAAAATCATTGGACAAATGAAGAATAAATTCTCAGCAGGCATGGATAACATTCCAGATTTTCTAATTAAACACAGTGCTCCACGTATAGTGCAACCACTCTCTCACATCTGCAATTACTCTCTAAAATCAGGCATATTCCCAGATATATTAAAAACAGCAAAAATTAAACCAATGTTTAAAAAGGACAATAGTTATGATCCAATGAACTACAGACCTATCTCCCTGTTATCAGGATTTTGAAAAATTCTGGAAAGGCTTCTCAATGACAGACTCAAACAGTTTCTCAAAGCAAATAATGTCCTTACAAACGCACAACATGGCTTCAGGAGTAATAGATCCACAGACACAGCCATCTTCTCCTTTTAAATGACATACTCTGTTGCCCTAAATCAGAAGAAAAAAAAAGGCCTTTTCTTAGATTTGTCAAAAGCCTTTGACATTATTGACCATCACATACTTTTAAGAAAACTAGAAATGCTAGGGATTCAAGGCATTGCAGACCAATGGATCAAATCATATTTATCAAAAAACAATGATAAATTATAAATTGATATGATGAATTGTGGAGTTCTGCAAGAATCCATCTTTGGGCCAATACTATTCCTTATATACATAAATGACATGCCTTTGGCTTTAAGGAATAACAAAATATTTTTTTTGCAGATGACACAAACATAATCATCAAAGCAAAAACATAACAATCATCAGAAAAAGAAACTCACAAACCTTTGCAAGCACTAGTAAAATGAATTCAAGACAACAAACTCATCATAAACACCAGCAAGACAGTCTCTCTAAATTTCATGAATCCCCGATCTAAAAAAAACCTCTCCTATCATTTACTCATAAACAATAACCCTGTAATGATATCTCATGAAACTACCTTCCTTGGTCTAACAATTCAAGAAAACCTAAAATGGAATACTCACATCTCAAATGTTAACAAGTTCACAAATCTTGATATGCCCTGTACACCCTCAGGTCAAGCTCCAACATGAGACACTTCAAATATTTTGCAAATGTGCATTCACACCTAAAATATGGAATAATATTCTGGAGAAATGCCCCTGAAAGCACTCGCACATTTATTATCCAAAAAAGAATATTGCGAACAATGACCCGCACTCATGAGCTGGAGTCTTCCAAACCCTTGTTCAATAAATAAAGGATTCTTCCTCTACCATGTATGCATATATTTGAAATAGTGGTCTTCACAAAAAAAATTCGCATGGAAAACAGAGACACTTTTACTTTAAATTCCAATGTACACAACTACAACACTCGTCAAAAGGATTATCTACATGTTCCCCACTCTGAAACTACACTTTATCAAAAAAGTACCCTATTAGAGGGCATTGCACTTTACAATAAACTAGGCAATGATATTAAAGACATAAACACTTTTCATACCTTTAAAAGTAAATTGAAAGCTTTCCTGCCCAACAACATGTTTTACAGTGTAAAGGAATATTCAAATCACAACAATATTTCCCTTAAAAAGTGTAAATAAGAATATCTTCTTGCATTAGACTTTCTGTTTCAAGCTGGAGCAAAGATAAAAGAACTGGCATATCGCATCCTGTGACATAGAAGGAGAATGCCTGAAAAAAGAAAAAGTTTCTCTTTGGATTCTCTAGACGCATTAGGTGCTGCAGCAGGACTAAGTGTACAAATTTGGAAGAAGAAAAGAACTGGTCAAAACTTGCCTCTCTTCCTCACTATTTCAAGTTTTAAATATATAATGTACTAATATTGTTAAATTTTATGTAGTTGCTAACAGAATTGATATGTATTGTTTTTAATATTATTGTTTATTATTATTTATTATTATTATTATTATTATTATTATATATTATTATTATTAATATTACAAGTACTAGTAATAAAATGACAATAACATCTTGAAATGTTAAAATATCTGCTACCAAAAATAATTATCTACTGTAGCCAGTATTGTAGTATAATCCCTAGGCCAATGATCCCATCTCGATCAGGTTTCCTGATCAGTTTCCCTGATCCTTTGAGCAAATGCTGAAATGGCCCCTTGTTTTGCTCCTGAACAGTAATGTAATTTCACTCTCTCCACCCAAGACATCATATTGTCTCGTCATACACGATTGTATTTGTATATGTGACTCAATAAATATTATTATAATTTACGTTTCCAGTAACCTTAAATTATGAATCCACCATGTTAATAGCCAATTTATAACTGAATCTTTGATGACAGTTAGCGTCAACTTTATTTCAAATCTACCGCGTTTTGATCAGCTGCTTTCTTATACATCACGTGGTATTGTGAAACGTTGTGAAACATGCAATGGTGATGTCACCGATGGTATTCAGAACTATGATGATGTCACCATCACACATACTACGTCACGACAGGACGAGTGCGGCATGCAGTAGCTTCTCGTCAATAATTGTCGTCGGATTGTCATTTCGATTGTGTGGTCCATGAGCAGGTGACAAAATTTGTTGTGTACAAGAAAAATTGCTGTGGTTTCTTGACTGACACGTTGATGTTGCCTTCCTTAATGACATGTCTGTTTTGTGTTGACTGTCAACGTCAGTGTATTAGTACCGGTAAATCATGGAATGTAACACAAAAAATAATTAAGCTCAGTACGTTTACAAAACATTAAGTAATTAAATTTTGAGTGTATACATGTTTTTTCATGAGGCTTAATGTGTACCGCGTTTGTCACTATATAATAAGTGAAAATTAATAGACTGCAATGATGATGTCTATTCCTGTAATGAAAATTAAATATTAGTCCGCTCGTACGCAGTACTCTACATGTGAATATGATACATTACACGTATACTAGATATTATTTTCTGTTAATATGGCATCAAACTTGAATGTGTAATGTTCAGTGTTCATTTAAATTACAGGAGATATTCAACAACTTTGTGACATCTGCAGCCCCTGTCTGGTATGGGGTTACATCTCAGTATAGACAGAGTTCCTGGTGCTGATCGTATGGCTGATTGGCGTAATCATGGTGAAGATGAAGCAGAACGTGAATATATGGAATCAGGAGCTGATGTCATTGAATACTATCCATCATATGTTGAATCAGAAACTGATGGTAACTTGGAATTATTTACCCGCAAATGGTGTGAGAACGGACCAACAGTTGGTGCCTTTGCTGACTGTGGGAATAATGGAAGAATCATTGGAGGAGAAAATGTACCAGAAGAAATTTTGTCTTTGATACTCAGTCATGTAGATTCAAAATCTCTCCCAAATTGTCGGCTGGTTTGCCAAAGATGGAAAAATATAATAGATTTAGATATTTGGAGATTTAAATTGGAGAAGAAGGTATACAGACAATTGACAAATTTGTTACACAATATAAGATCACCTTTCCCTATAATATACAGAGTATTTAAACACAAGTCATTCAATAGAAACTTGATCAAGAACCCATCTGGAGAAGGTATGTTAATTTTATGAATTTCATTTTTTTAATAACTGTCAGAGCCTCAGAAGTATCAAAATAGAATTTTTGGAACATTACCGAGGTTCTATCTGACGTTTTGTGAAGAAAATGAGCTTTTGACATGCTCAAACTATCTATTTCAGACTTGTTGAAAATTTATGAACAAAATGGCATAACAAATCACATACCTGAACTTTCATTGTAGTATGTTGTAAAATTTCTTCAAAGTAGAATAGAACCATAGTATTCTGAGGCTTTGGTGTGTATCGAAAGTGTTTATTATTAAGGAATCTTATAAAATTATTAACATTCGTTTCTGCAATGAATATTTTATGATTGTGAATGCAATGTAAATCAAAAACATGACTGATACTTTTTTTTTTGAAGATCTTGTGAACATTGTTTGAATGAAACATTTATAATATTCAATAATTCACATAAATTAAAAAATGATTTGTTTTATTGAATAAGATCCAATTACAGACTTTTTAAATTAAGCAAAATTTAAATTAATTTTAAAATTGTCTCAATGTAAGGATTTTGGGGTCAACATATAATGATAAATGCTATGCAATTAAAATAGTGCATTATGAACCCCCATGCAATATTAAAATTAATCTATACCAAATCTATTGTATGTACATTTGTAACAATTATTATTGTTATGGAAATTATGATGTATAATACATTCTATCAAATAATAATAGAAAATTTTGTCTTGTTTATTAATCTTGTGCATTGCGTCCATAAATCTGTGCTGCACATGTTGGGTAGCATGTTGTAAAATTGGAGTATCCAGTGATGTTTAAATTCAAATTATATTCTGGTATGCACATTATGAATTTGTGGCACATAATGTTGTGATGGCGTTCCTTGGGTCCCACATATTTCTTCCTTCTCATTCTATTACATTTCCATTATACTACCAATACTGAACTACTGATGTTAATCCATTCAACATTTCCTGTCACGTATCTGTATTTGAGTGATTGTGATTGATAGTATTTTTGCATTACTGGATCATTGGTTAGGTAGGTTTGTTTTCTCAGGTACTTGTTTTATTGCAAGGCATTAATATTTGAACTATTTGATTGTGTAATTATCATTGACTCAAAATAAATAATTCTGAATAAAACAATTATCACAGATGTAAAAAAAAAAAACAAACTATTCTTCAAATATTTTTTTCTTTAAGAGATTTTAGAAAGTAAGTTAAGATTTGACATTATTTCATGACTTCTTTCAGAAAAATTGTGTCACTGGGAAATTCTTAAGAATGGAGGTGATGGTTGGAAAATTGAGGAACCTCCAAACGGGGCAGATGAATTACCATTTGATGAGAATTTTCCTACCACAAGTTGCTTTTCTACTTCATACATTCGTTGCACAAAAGTACAGCTTATTGATCTCTGGGCAGAGGGATTATCTCCTATTATTATGGATGAATTGAGGCCTACAATTTATGTTAGTGAGTGGTAAGTTACAAATAAGTATCATTGAATATTTGGCATCCATTTTTATGTATAAAAAAAGTAAATTATTATAACGAATTCAATTCTTGTTGGTTTGAATGGAGTTATTTGTGCATCTCTTGACAGGTATGCTGCAAGGTATGATTGTGCATCTACATACACACTGTATGTGACTCTCTTGAATAGAAACCAGCAAAAACTTCTTGCCTTCAAACAGACAAAAAGAGTGGAACAGTGGCTGGGCAGTGAGTGGAATAAGGTAATTAGAAGATGCAATTACTTGAACAGATTTCTGATTTTGGCCATTTGGAAGAAGGAAAACTTTTTTTCCCCCCTTGTTAAATTGTGAATATACTATGCCCTTTCTTGAAATGAATTTAACAGTTTTAACATTCAAAGTATTGAAAATTTGATTGAAATGCTGAAGGCAAGTGACATGTGACAGACAGTGCTGGACAGAAATGCACTTTGTTAGCTACAGTAGATTACACTTAGTTTAGCAATTTATCTGATGGTTTTAGCTGAAGATGATATGGGCATTGATCTTTTCTTTAGGAGGATCAGAGAGAAATTTATTAATTTTTTTCTAAATATTCCCTGATATTTGTAAGGCTGAATACCTGATTTTTGGGTATTTACCGTAAAGCAGGTCAAAATCTTGCACTTGTAAATTAACCCCCTTTTTTTTAATAGTAAAATGTTTTCAGTTCTGTGTAGTAATATCAGTATATTCAGAATTATAGAGATATAATTTTGTAATGCCTTGTGCTTTGGGGTGAAACCTACATTCAGAGCACTAAGAATGTTTTTACAAAAGAAAATAACAATCCAGACGAAATTATCATAATATAGTAGTTTAAATAAATTGTTTCAAAATGGCTTTATTGAAAATAAACCTGTCTTTCTCTTCCTGTGGGATTTGTAAAACCTTTTGAAATAGTATCATCATCTAGCATAGTGGGAAACAAACAATGTTTAACATTCTCGTGTATGTACGTGTATACAGAGTTATATATGCAGTATACGGAAAGTTATGTAATGCTGTGGAAAATAGAATTTGTGATTTCAACAGAAATGCACGTCTTAGGGTCCCCTGATAGATGAACAGTGAGGATATGTGAATGCCATTGTTGAAATGCAGAAACCCATTCTACTCTTGGTAGATATTTTTAAAGTGCTTTTCTTTTCTACTTCATCTATCAAAAAACCTTTCCCTGTGTATCTGATATTAACAATGCTAAAGAGAACCCCCACTGTGTTGCTTTCAAAATTCTCTGTTAGAATATTTCCTTGTTTCCTTTAATACTACTTGACCTCACACATCTTTTGGATGTTTGGTCGTCACTCTCTCTTTGATTGTTAATTTTGGAATTCCAAATCTGTTGGAAACTTTCCTTAGTGACACGTGACTGACTATAATTTCTCTCACAGCTGTAGGTCATCTGGATTATAATAATTTTGCCTAACTTTGCCTATAATAATTTTGGCTGTCCACATTTCCTTATCGTTGCACCATAGTTCGAACTCAACACACTCATGGTAGTTTTCGCACAATGTGATGCCGTGCTTGACAGCTTCAGGAATTTTCTGATAACCAATTCATGTTATTGGTAAAGATTCTTACTAAACCGTCTGTTGTGTGATACAAGTATGATTTCGATATCCCTGCTCAATGAAGATAAAAGGTATTTGGAGAACAGAAATAACAAGAAACTTACATATATTTGTCACCATATACTTGTAAGATGAAGAAAGAAAATGGACTCAATTATTCCAGGAATCAAAGCACTTCATATGAGTACAAAACTAGTTCAGATCGCATACTAAAAATATAGTATAATTCAAACCAAAATAATAGAGCATTAAATAAGACTTATCACACTAATGCCATTATGGAATGTTAAAATAAAAATATTCATTTTTTCATTTCAGCATACCTCTGTTTTGCATGAAAATTAAATTTTATAATTAATTGAAAAGCTTCAATAACTCAATTAAATATATTTTTATATTTTATCAATAATATACTTCGATTAAAACATTAAGACCGTTGACACTTGATCAGCTGTGATACTGTTATCCAATCGGGAGCTTGAACATACTATGGTGTTATTCAAACTCCCTATGGATGACAGCCTTATATCTGATGCAAGTGTCAATGGACTTAATGTTTTAATCAAAATATAGTTTCTCTGTCAATGTCCTTTGATTTCCTATTGTTCAGTGAAAATTGTGGTACTGTGAACCTGTAGAAATAATTTTGGGATACGTTGTTTTATTGTTCAGCTTAAAAAGGTACAATTTAATAATTTTAATAAATTTACATAATTTTTGTGTTTGTTAAAATGTATTTTGTTGTGAAATGTATTGCGAAAAAAATTGTTTACCATTACTTCAATTTCTTTTTCTAGGTTGAGCATGAATTCAAGAATTATTGTGAAGGTGTTCGTTACGTAAAATTCTTCCACAGTGGATGTGATTGTCAGTTCTGGAAAGGTCATTATGGAAGTAAAATGAGTAGAGCTTGTGTCAGAGTTGTTTTGTAACATTCATCAGTGTAATACATCTCATTGTTGTGTGATTACAAAGTAAAAGATATGTTAGAAATGTTACTGAAATATGAAAGGGACAGATGTAAGTAACTTCATGGAGTTAATACATTTGATGTTAATATTGATGTTGATATTGATATTGATGTTTCCTTTATGCTGTGTTATGATGTGTACATGTAACGAAAGATGTGATAATTTTATATCTGTGTATAGTTTCTTGCGTGAAAATGTGATTTATTTCTTAATTTGTTTCATTAAAGTTTCATGTTAATTACTGTTAAAATATGTATTTGTTTGGATCATTATTGGCTTTACTGTACTTAAGTTTTCCTTAGCAACAATTTCAAAGTGAAAACAAAAACAATGAATTGAAACAATTTATAAATGTCCAAACGAGTTTGAATGTGGGAATTCTTAATTGAAATGCACACACTATTCAGCAATTTCTAAATCAAATTTTTGTTTCTTGGTTTTAAGTTGTTGTTTTTAATTATTGTACACTGATGAAATTGTTCAGATATTTGAAGGAATATAACATTGTTTGTCTTGTATTGTTTTAAATAAAATCAATAAACTAAGTTTAATATAATTATTAAAAATATATTTTCTTTTTTTAAATTCATGCAAATGCTTTCTCCTTTGATTTTATTAATAACATGCTAGTTAAAGACCTTACCCATTATGATCCATCAATTGTCCTTTTTGAGAAACCTATTTTAAAAGTACCTATGTATAAAAATGATCCCAATTTCAACTACTTGCTGTTCTACACTGGACCTGTTCTATAAGACCAATGAATGGACTTAACTACATGGAAAAACTTTGAGGGAGCATCCTTTCGAAATAGTAGGGAAAAACCGTATGAAATTATTGTTTATGCATTCAACCTCCTGTTGGCAGAGGTTAGTACAGAACAGACTAATGTTTTTCTGAGCTCAGTGTTTTTATTGGCAAATTTGGTGAGTACCTCGGATGTCACCAATGGGGACATGAGAGGAGACACATATATGATTTGAAGTACATCCAGTAGTTCTTTGTAATTTATATTTTTACAAATTAAAATTTCAGAAAACATAACAGTATTATTCTTTATGTAGTATTCCAACTAAAACAATAACGGAATACAGAAAGTGTGACTTCACTTCACATGGCAAAAATGCATGGAAAAGAGCCACTATGATCTACTTGAACTGGTAGGTTGATGTAGGATTAATCTCATGATCCTGCATTTTCGTAAAGAACGAAAAATAACAAAAAGGGCCAATAAGCATAATAGCTAGAATGAGGTCAGAGAATATTACAAGGAAGAGGGACCAGGGCTTGTTACCTGGGTGACACTTGAGGGGTGGGGGCATTTTTGTGTGCTAAAACAAAGCATAACTGTTTATTATTATATTATAATTTATAAACTTACGTAAGAGTATCGTTTTACTATTTTGCGTACTAGTAGGCTTGTTGTATGTCCTAAAAAAGCAGGACATGTCCTTCACTTTGACATGTCTTACCAGATGTATGTAATTCTGCAGTAAATCGATTTTGAGATGTCAAAGGAAATACACGTTGAGGTCCCATGATTCTGAAAAAGTGTTAGTTTTTTTTCAAAATGCCTGTCCATCCGACTGGTGCCTTTAAACACAACTAGCACCTAAACCGTTGGTAGGAGTTTTTCCAAGTTGAAGAACCCTCTGTCCATCTGGCTCAATTTGAAGCTTTGAGATTTTGAAAAACATTCTTTAAAATTTAGGGGTACTTTACATGAATGCCCTGGAACATTTTCAAAATTTTCTGAAAAACAGCTTCAAATTTTTTCTTTAAATTTCTTGTAAGAATGGAGTAATATACACTTATAAAAGTTCCATAGGTCCTTTTATTATAGTTAACTGGATTTCTGAAAATTTCAAAAGTATGCATTGTTTTCCATGTCTTCATACAACTACAAAATTGAGATTTTTCTTTGAAATGAAATTTGTTGTTCATAATTAGTTCTTTTATGAAAAGTTTGTGCCATTCTGTAGCACTACTAGTTATACTTTGTAATAATTCCACATTCTCAACCACCCCCAAGAAAAAGCGTTGCGACTACTATGTTCTACATAAGGGAACATCAACGGCTATTTCCTATGTTAAACATATATTGTAATTTTTGTTATTAAAAATTGCCTACATTTAACACAATAACTACTCATTTTTTAACTGTATGATCGTATTTCAAGATGTCTTGAAAGAACAGATTTCATTAAGGAAAAAATATCTTTAAATTTGTAGGAGTAGAAAGATGCTGAAAAGAAATGCAATTTTCTAATTTTCGAAAAATTAGGCATTTTTTCAGGTTGAAAATACCGATAGCAGCTTTTTTAATCACCACCACATAGAAGCAACAAGTGCTACAAAATGGCACAGAGTTTCCCACACTAATTAGTTTTCTAATTTCTTTCCTCTGGTCTAGGCTAGATTTTGCTCTTGTCACATATTCTTGGCAGCTGTCATTAATCGCCGCCCAAAGTACATTTTTTTAAAACTTCTCAATTTTTTGGTTTCCTAATGGTCGATCCGAAATATTACTTTAAGAATTTTATAGAAGAGTAAAACCTCGTCCAATAATAAAGTTTTCGTTGAAAAATTTAGAGCCATTTTTAAGAAAATGGTGTTTAAGCGTTACTGTGAATGCGAAATTTGAAGCTATTCTCACAGATAACTATTGAGTTTTTGAAAAACTTCTTATGAAGTAATTTCTAGTACTGCCAGTCGCAAATGCTATAGTGTTTACAAATCGCTGGAAATGTGCATATTAAAGGCTTGAGAAATATTTTTAAAAACAATGTTTGCGTAATTTTTTAAAAAAACAACAACAAAAGATTACAGTTAAATTAATTGTACACCGCCTTAAACAGTGCAATAAGCATTATCCTAAAGAAAAGGTCGAAGAAAAAAATTGGAGCCGTTTTTGAGAAAATTGCGTTTAAGCGTTTCTGATAAATGCAAAAGTTCGAGATCATTTTCACAGAACACTGTTGTTTTCGAGATACTTTATTTGACATTATTTAAAGCAAGTTCTGAAAAAAGTGAACAAATTGCTGCTAATGTAATTACACTAAAGAGCCAAAAAACTGGTACACCTGCCTAATATCGTGTAGGGCCCCCACGAGCACGCACAAGTGCCGCAACATGACTTGGACTTGACTAATGTCTGAAGTAGTGCTGGAGGTTATTGACACCACGAATCGTGCAGGGCTGTACATAAACTCGTAAGCGTACTAGGGAGTGGAGATCTCTTCTGAACAGCACGTTGCAAGGCATCCCAGATAGCTCAATCATGTTAATGGGGGTTTTGGTTGGCCAGTGGAAGTGTTTAAATTAAGAAGAGTGATCCTGCAGCTACTTTGTTGCAATTCTGGACGTGTAGGCTGTTGAATTGTCTTGCTGGAATTGCCCAAGTCCGTCGGGATGCACAATGGCCATGGATATGTGCAAGTGAACAGGCAGGATGCTTACGCACGTGTCTCTTGCTAGAGGGTGTCACTTATCAGGGGTCCCATATCACTCTAGCTGCACACGCCCCACACTATCACAGAGCTTCCACTAGCTAGAACAGTCCCCTGTTGATATGCATGGACAATGAATTCAGGTGGTTGTCGCCATACACTAACCGACCATCCGCTCGAAACAATGTGAAACGAGATTCGTCAGACCAGGCAACGTGTTTCCAGTCATCAACAGTCCAATGTCGGTGATGACGGAACCGAGCGAATAGAGAAGCTTCGTGTCGTGCAGTCATCACGAGTACACGAGTGAACCTTTGGCTCCGAAAATCCATATCGATAATGAATCGAATTGTTCGCACGCTGACACTTGTTGATAGCCCAGCATTGAAATCTGCAGCAATTTGCGGAAGGGTGTTATGATTCTCCTCAGACGTCGTCCGTCCAGTTCTTGCACGATCTTTTTGCGGCCGCCGCAGCAATGCCGGAGATTTGACGTTTTACCGGATTCCCGATATTCACGGTACACTCGTGAAATGGTCGAGAAAATCCAAATTCCATCGCGACCTCAGAGATGCTACGTCCCATCTCTCTTGTGCCGACTATAACACCACGTTCAAACTCAATTAAATCGTGATAACCTGCCGTTATAGCAGAAGTAACCGATCTAACAACTCTGCCAGACTCCGGTCGTCTTATATAGTCGTTGCCGACCGGAGCGCCGTATTCTGATTGGCTCCAGATCTCTATTTCAATTCGCATGGCTGTACCAGTTTTTTTTGGCACTTCAGTGTACTAACAACGTGAGAAACAAGTAAAAAATCAAAATTATTGTAATTAAAAAAAATAATAAAAGAATAGAGCAATGTGGTGTTTCTGTATTCAATGTAGTGTATTTAGCACAATCCCTACCAAACAATTAAAGAAAAAAGTTAGGAGCCCTTTTTGAGAAAATCTTTTTTTTTGTATTTTTTTTTAAAATTGCAAATATTGCTCGAAAACTACTACCATTTTCCAAAAAATGAGTCATAAGTTGAATTTTACTTAAGTTGCAAGACAATTAAAGAAAAAAATGGAGCCATTTTTGAGATAGTTTTGAAATGTTCCATAGGCTTCATTTATGTCCCCCCAAAAATTAATGAATGTTCTTCAATATCGTAGAACTTTGACTCAGGCCAGATCGACAGGGGGTTTGTTCAGTTTGGGAAAAATACTACGAATAGTTTTGGCGCTAGTGTTCACAGACGAACGGACGTTTGGAAAGAAAACAAACAAAAACAACACTTTTTCGGTATCATGGGACCCCAAAACGTGTACGCTCAACTCCGAGCCCGGATCGAACCTCTACTGGGGCGGTGAATAAGCGCCGAAATTAATTCAAATCTTGCGCATTACCTCAAATACAACAATTATATGCTCTCTTTGAAATAATGAAGAGCTAAGGCTGTGCATTTTAAACGTGGCGCCCCCAAAATAATGTTTCCCTTCAAAAAAGTAAAAAATTAGAACAAGCAATACATAAGAATATTAAAAAAGATTTACAATAATAAAAGTACAAGTAAACAAACAATGAAATAAAATAAAAACGCAAATAGACAAGTATAAACAAATAGACAAACTGTGCACATCTCTACTACATACCAAACTCTACACTTCACTGTATCTCCCTTCGGTAACCAGTAATTTATTTATTAACAATACATCACACTTTTGTTGGCCTTCCCTGCATTTCACTGAACATCACTTAAAAACCCTGGAACGCGTAACTCGCGTGCTACTGGGATAGGTCTCCAGCAGCTCTGCAGGTAAATTGTTTCAGTCAACAATGTTCCTTTTCACAAAGCTCAATTTTCCTACATTTGTTCTTTGCTTTCTGCATTTTATTTTGTGTGAATGGTCGCAGTGAATAAAGTAGCATGGCATTTCAAGTCCTTCATTAATAGCTGTCCATGCCGATTGTTTTGTGTACGTCTTGAAGAGAGCACACATCTTTCTGCGACTCGAACGAAGCGTTCAAAGGCTCGACGTCCTTTCCAGACTCGCAAGGCCAGGGTCGGGCCGGGCTGGCGCAGGTCATTCACCGCGGACTGCAGTGCACTGCTGACTCCAGGGCCACACACTGTCGTGCGGCTCGCCGGGGTCGTATTCCTACTTTCCAATAATCTATTCTTAACCGAGTACGGCAGGCTTTGAAAGTACACGGAAATTTGTAATGGCGACATAATAGGACGCACCCTAAACACAAAGTTCCACAGGTGGATGTGTACGCACAACTCGAGCGCTAGGCTACCCAATTTCATGAAGTCCACTCAATATATCACGCATTAACACGCGATATCCTCATCGCTCTCACCCATCCGCCACAGCTTCGGTAAAACACAACTAACTGCTACGTTCGAACGCGATCACTAGCCCCGCCCTCTGTATATTTCCAAACGTCCGGTAAAGTAAAAGAAAAAAATGCAGTCACTAGCTCCGCCATCCGTTCGGTTCTGGAGCCAAAAAAGCTGACTGTAGTCAGTCTCCTGGTCAACTCTCCCTAGGCTTCTACAATCCCTTGTTCTCCTCACCCTAAAAATTACGCACTGAGAGTGGCTGAAATCAATTGCGTAGAAATATTTTCTCAGCCAATCCCCGACAAGTTTTTGAATATTCTGAAAATAACGCTATCTGTCTCTCATACTGGCTGATTCAAGCGGCGAACTTGCAGCTGTCGGTCTGAATGAACGCGGGTGGGCTTGTGCATTTATTTGCAGTAATAATCTTTAGCTGTCGCCGCCGGAGCTTCCCGCCGTGGTAATAACGTACACACCATAGCCAATGGGTCGGGAATGTGGGCTGGAAGGGGATGTGGTGAAGAGGGGTCTATGCCGTAGGTTCATAAACAGATGCAAAGAAAAGCGGTGGCCATGCGGCGCTGGTCGAGGCAGCGGGCAGGTAAGCGCCGGTCGTGATCTCGAGGGGGGGGGGGGAGGGGGGGGTTCTCGCCACAAACAAACAATGCGGGACTCGAACCCGCGACCCTTCATACCAAGGTGCTGAGTCGGCACACACACTAGCTTCCTCGTCGCATTATAATCTCATTCTTTCTGAAGACTATCAACTTTTCTTTCATATTACATTAAATCATGTTTTTTTTTAAAGAGAGGAAACCTAATTAAGCTAATTTGAGTTAGGATTTGTGGATTGCTTGACAGAAAATACATCAATACATTAAGAATGAAAGTAGTACATTCCTAGCAACATAAACAAAACAATGGATTATCAAGGTTTTAAATAATTCCTAAAAGATTAATTTCGAATCGTATGACAAAAGGTCGAATGTAAGAAACGAACAAAGAAATATGAAATAACATACAAATTCCAACTTACGTAGCATCCAACTGTTTCCAAGCACCTCTCAAATTCATGAGGCGCAGGAAATTCGAAGCGAGAGACTGTTCGTTGCCAAAATACAAAAAAATACTCAATTTTTGAACAATTGAACACAACCTTATTAGATCTGATTTTGATGAACACACTTTATAAAATCTGTATCTTTACAAAATTGTAGGAAGATGCCGTCGTTTTAAAAAGCATCAATTATCTAAACGAGAATTTCAACGAACATGAGACATGCACCATTAACTTAAGCGTCCTATAGGCTAAGATCAAAAGTTAATAAAATGTGCCGTTTTTAACAAAAATTGTTTAAAGAAAATTAACAATTACCCATACTTCACGCAGAATTATGCGAAAAGTACTCACATTTTCAAAAATTTTACATGATCTTAATTCAAAATCCTTCAAGAAACATTTCATCAGACGATAAAATCAGTCTTTAATATTTTAGGAATATAATTTTAATAGGTAGGAAAGTACCGATAAAAGCGGCGTTTTCGCGCTGCTGCTGCGCTCGGTGCCGAAGTCCCTTCCCGAGTCTTCCCACCGGGACACTCGGTCGCAGCGCAGAGCTCCCGTAGACCTGCTGCCTCTCTTGTTCGCTGCCCGGCCGCTTGAGCCGAAAGTGGTGGGACTCACGAAACCTACCCCTGACGCGGTCGGTGGCGGGCAGCGGTGTCCTAAGGTGGGGATCCGCCACCGAACGCCACAGCAGCGCGAACCCGCAACACGTGGGAAGACCTCCTTTTAAATCAATGCTTTGCTATCGGCCGCGGCGCCGAGTGTCATCGGGGGAAGAGGCCCTTCGTCGGGTGCCAGTCAGGCCATATTTTATAGCCAACTGGTTAAATTAGCATTAGCAATTAAAACAGCACCATTGGTTTCCCCGCCAAATTTTCACTTCTAATTTACGCGAAAAGTACTCAAATTTTCGAAAAATTATACATGACCTTATTCCAAAATCTATCTTCAAGGAACAGATTTCATTAAGGAAAAAAACTACATGTTTAATTTTTAGTAGTAAAAAAATTGCTATTTTCGAAAAATTGGGTTTTTCAATGACCATGAGACCTGCACCATTCACTGAAACGTTCTTCACACTATCAAACAACAAAATTAATTCAAAACGATGGGACCATTTTTTTGAAAGTTTAGAAAATGTCCCAGGAACTTCATGTAAAATACTCCAAAAAATGAAATATCCATTTCTAATTCAAGAGACCGCGACATCCGCCAGATCGATTGTGGAATATCAATTTTGGAGAAAATCAGCTGAACGGTTTAGCCACCAGCGTTGTTCACTGACGGACGGACAGCTGTCATTCGATTTTTCGGTACAAAGGATCCACAAAACGTGGATTATGGCTACACCATGTGATAGAGAATTACCTTCTCCCCCTGAACAAAAATTTAGCAACTGGATTTATCCACTTTTTTTTGTTACCAGGGCCCATAATAAGAGTTTTTCTGCAGAAAATTCGCTGTTATTCCGCGCAACATTACATAACTTTCTCTCTATTTCGTAGCGAGAAAGTAAAAAGAGATATAGTTATTATATAATGTGTTATCGCGGCGACACTTCTTTCACAACGGCAAATAATTTTCTCTGTTGTTATTAAGATAGCTAATCTGCCAGGGAAACTAGTATAATGCCATGCAACTATTCAATAGCATTTGCATGCTCATCATTGTCATCCATCGTTACAATTCTAATTTAATTAAATGTATTATTGTAAAATTTCAAATTTTTCTTCACACAACTCCTCATCCGTCCCGCTTCCAGCAGGTCGGAAATAGGCAACCACAAACAACAGCACGTGATTTATAGCACAGTTGACCAATGAACTCTGGATTGAGGAGAGTAGATTCCTAGAGATCTGGACCTAGGCTGGATGATGAAATTAGTATATATATCGGATAAAAGGGTGGACTTGAAACCTATCCAAATGTTTCAATAAATCAAAAAAACAAGCATTAACATTACACAGTTGTATTTATTTACATAAATTTTTAAAAAGTCCTGAAAACAAATTTCCACTTCAATGATTGGTACAAATTTTCTTCCTTTTTATTTGAGCATTTATGCATTCCCCAACTTATAATTAGGAAATAAAATTGTTATTTTTTACATTAAGATTCAAGGGAGAAGGAGATACAGGAGAGAGAAAGAAAGAGAGAGAGAGAGACAGGAAACATAAGAAAAAAGAAAATCTGTGAATCAATGAAAAACACAAAGGTCTTGAATTCACCATTCACTAGATTAGTAAACGAGACAAACAGGCTAGTGACTATTTTAGCCTAATTCCGATTTTCAGATTACCTCTTGTGATTATAAATAATCAAACTTTAATGTGATTAATTGAAATTTTTTATTTAAACATAAACATATTTACTATAGAAAGATGGCTAACTTTTATATATGTTTGCCTCAGTAGTTGTAGAATATTGTCATTTGACAAATATTCAGTCCTTTTAGATTGTCCAAATTTGCATGTGGAAATCTAAAAAGATTTTAAAATCAACTTGTTGCTAATAACTTATGCTTTGTGTATTCTAGTTGATGAATTAAAGAACTATACTTATTTTCATGAAGATTAAGCACTAAACAAGAGCTAAATAAACACCACGAACTGGAATTAATTACATTAAAAACAAAACAAAACAATATGCTGTTTATAAAAAATATTACCACAGCAATAATACAAGATATCATTTTCCATAAAAATATTTCAGGTGAGTAATTCCAATGATGTTTTCGAGGAAAGAATAACAAATCATGAATAAAATAAAAACCACAAACGTTCAACATTTCCAAACATGATATGTTAATATATTTTTCTCTTGAATCTTATTCATCTACAGCTATAGCAAGGGGAAGAAGTTTTGATTATTTACATTTTGAGAATCTCTTTTGATAAATCACACTGTATGTACACCAATGCTATCTGACAAAATCAACCTCTTTCTATCATCTACACTCCAAACTTTAAATAAAAAAAATATTGGGAAGGTTAAATATATCCAATCAAATAAAACAATTATGAAAATACTACACAATTGATTGAAATCAACCTATCCAAAAATAAAAATAAAAAGTGACACAAAATTGAACCTAAAGTGATTCTTCCCCAGTCTGAAATTGAAAACAGACCATTTTGTTTGGTAGAGATCACAGATAACCAAAGTATTCTAGTGATCTATTATTAACGTATCACAGACAATTTATAAATGCTTGACATTGACAATAGACCTTTTAATGAGGTTGATTTCAAAACATTCTAATTAGAGACGGAATTCCCATTTTTCTCTTAAAAGTAGGTGTTCACACGTTCTTGAAAATATTTATCAAACTTTTTTTTTCATATATTACTCCATTCTGAGGTAAATGATTTTTGTGTCTAACAAAGTCAGTTTTTACTTATTTGTAATTTCACATGACTATTAACTCAAAAGTTCTTTCAAATGACTTGCTCATGAACTGGAGCATACATTAACTATAATTAGCATAATCACAACTAATACTTATTTTGCAAAGGGTACACTTTTTCAGGTTATCTGTTTAAAACAATGCCTTACAATTCTATATACATATGTTTCCTATAAAATGACTAACACAATTAATGCAAAAGATGTCAAGTTATCAAAACTGCACTTTTTTAAATGAATGGTATAAATTTACTATTACTTCAATTCAGAAACCTGGAGTCATTCAGCTCAACCAGTCATCATCATCTTCTTCATCATCAAATAATGGTGAAGGAGGAGGCTGTGGTCTCCAACCCTGAACACGAATAATATTTTTATTAATAATAATTCAATAATTTATTAAAAATCAAAAATACAGTCTAAAAACTGCATGTGACGTATGAGGAAGAAGTACGAACTGTACACAGATTTTGGTTCTTACTTCTTATTGTGCCCCACATGAAGGAATGGACAAACAAGAACATGGAGAATGATAACTGATGTTGATGAAATAAGAAAATTTCCCACTCCCATTAAATGAAGCTTAAGAAAATGTGTACAGATAGTAAATATTTATGTCTAGAATATAAGCAAAATACCAGCATTTGCTCCACAGTTCAAGGCAAACTGGACTTCTTCTTACTAAATCCTAACTTCAAAAGGGTGTTACAGTATTACTGACCCAGTACTGTGCAGAGAAACAATTCAATCTAATCTCAACTCTTAACAAAGGGTTGAGATTAAATTGTACAGAAAATCTTCAAGAAAGAGATGAGGTGGTGTAAAATACATGGATATAATTTTACACAGGATAAAATACACAATTATTTAAACAAAGATTATTATTACTCATAGAATTATTACTACAATTATTGAATGTGTTGAATGATAAATGGATGTTCAAATTAAAGTTCTATGGTAGTTTAAATACATAATCGTCATTTATAAAATAAAGTAAATTATAATATAAAGTTGTTTTTTTCACATTACAGATTTCAGGAGAATTTGTAACTGTTTAATTTCTGTTTGAAGACATTAATTATGATGAGGCTTCGGATTATTTTGGTTGTAAATCTTCATTTAAAAGAAAAGAATGTAGGATATAGTTGGAGACAAGGTGAAAAATATACTAACATGCGTGAAATACAAGCAAGAATGTTCAAGAATGTATGTTTTTTATCAACTATAATAAAAAACACAACAATGAAAAAAAAATAGTTGTAATTATTAAATAGAGCTCTTATGCAGTTTAAAAAGTCTTCTTTATGTAATACTTTTGAGTCTGAAATAAAAATATATTATTGACCAAATGTATTAACTTAAAGTAGTGAATATTTTTAATAATTTCTCAATGTATCAGGCTTGATTAAAGATATAATTGAATTTTTTAAAGTTTTTGAGGTTTTTCTTATGCTTATGAATCATTCCTATATGTAATGAATTTAAAAATATCAAACAATTAATACTTATGTTATGAAACAATTTTAATAATATATAGTTTGTAATTAACTGTTTTTTGCCCCGGCTGTAGAATTCTAATACAAAACTGCCTCAGTTTCTTTAGCTGTATACAGAAACAAAGCCCAGGTAGACTGAATACGCTAGGTATGCCGATAGGAATGTTTCATTCTCGCCACCTGACTCCCTTACCCTCAGGTGTGGATAAGAAATAAAAGCAGGCCCCACTGTTAGTTAGCAAATGCCAGATTAATCCAACCCCAAATGCCAAATTCATACATACATTCATTAATTTTATATTCATTACTTAGGAGCATATTGTTGTAAAATTATCATATAATGGACTAATTTACAAAATTCTGAGTTTAAAATCTAACAAAATGAAGGGTGAAAAAATAAGAAAATATCAGACCTATTGGACAAGAGGCATGTCAAAACCTCTGAATGAGGCATTTAGTTTGGACTGCTACGCTGTCCTGAGTAAAGGTAAGAAAATTAAGCAGTGTTAAAAGTACAGTCATGAATAAAAAAAAATAAATAAGAAAGCATTGAAATCAGAACACCAAGATAATTAGGTAAAATGCTTTACACACCCTATCAATTGAAGACTCTCTTGGTTTTGCTACTTGCAAATTTATTCCCAATGACTCATCTTTTCCTTTCTCTTCTAATTTTTCTTCTTTATCCTCCTCTTTTTCTACCTGAGTCTCTTCCACGAGAGGTTCAGTTTCAAAGTCAGGTTCAACTACTTTGGGTGGGCTTTCTTTCAAAGTTTTTTGCTCAGATTCTTCAGTCACAGTCACTTTGTTGCTTTCATCAGTCACATTTTCTCTAAACTTATCATCATTATTTCTTCTCTCCTCTTTACAAATATCTGATTCCTGATTTTTTTCAATTACTTCAGATTTTACAGACTCTTGAATTTGTTCCTCATTGTGTACTGCTTCTCCTACTGCACTGGATTCAGATCTTGATTGCTCATTAGAAACTATTGAAACTGTCTGTTCAGAATCTACCACATCATTGTTTTTAGTTTTCATATGTACATACTGTAGAGTAATATTCTGTAAAGAATTAAAAATTATTTCAATTCAATGTAAACAAAAATTATAATTTTAAAATAAATTAATTCATCTATTGACACATCCCATACAAAAGATTGGTGACCTACAAAAAAGCTATATAAGTTACCTGGAATAATACCAAATATTAGGCAGAGTACCAGTCATGTGTTATTTGACCAAGTCTCAACATTTTACGGTGTATTGAATAGGGAATTTTGTCATGTAGTTGTGAAGTAATATTTGACAACATAGATAACTTGTAGTGAACTGCCTTTCTCTTCCAAGCTACATTTGGAAGATCAAAATATTACACTGGATCAAAACTACATCCCCCGTGAAGATCTGATTTATAGATACATTTTGCTCTAAACAAGGTAAAAAATTTGTGGGGAATCCAGGAAATTGAAAGCCGGCCTTCGAGAAGCAAATTAAAATGAAAATCCGTTTGTCTATTAACACTCCTATTCAGGAAAATATTTTTATGCTCTAAAATTATCCATATTTTCAAAAACGTGTGCATGACATTACTTTAAGTTCAGATTGTGAAGAATGGATCTTATTAATAAATGTGTATTATATAAAAGTGACAATATGAACATTTACATGATACAAAAACTTTAGAACCATTGGAATGAAGGTTCTTAAATTATTTGGAGCATCCAAGAATAAAAAATAGTTTAGTTGTGTTTCAAAACATTATACCAAATTGTGTTGTTAGTTTATTTAGTTAAATGCAATATGCAGTCCATTAAGCCAGCATTGTTGCCATTCATTCTTGGGTGAAGTAGGACAGGGCTGGAAGATGGAGCAGACATAGATAAATAAGTGGGTGGAGAAGAATTAATGGAAATAACGAAGGTAGAAAAAAAGAAGTGATAAGAGCTAGACGAGCAAATGAAGAGAGAGGAGTGCATAGGGTCAAAGAAGAAGATGGAGTGGCCAAGGGGAGAGGATGGGTGTAGCAGAAGCGAGTTGGGTATTGCGGTGGAGCTTGTTGAGAGGGGGGAGCTGGGGCTGGATGGGTGACGCCAGGGGTATGCACAAGGTAGCCATTTGAACAGGGCTTGCAGGGGTGCAGGATGGGCGAGCGTGCAGGCAAAGTGTGCAGGATGGGCGAGGCTGCTTAACAGATTGTTGTGGTAAATAATATTAGGTTGTTCTCAATAATGTTTAAGTTAAATTTTCTTATCTGATTATACATTGTTACAATATAAATTAAATAATTGATGCTTAGTGTGAACACTGATTTTTCCAACTGAGTATTAATAAAGAAGATCACCTGTATGGAAGACAGCATTGTTTGCCGTATTGTAGAACCTTCATAATTGGTCCCAGGCAGGAATTCAGCTTTTATGAGCCTGAACATAACATTCATAACTTTTTTCATTTCATCAATAGATGTGGTTGCAGAAGCTTTCAAGTTATTCTACAAAGAAAGAACAATGATTGGTATATCTTTTGGAAGGAACAAGTATATTACTATAATATGTATCCAAGATGTAGAAGAAGTAATGAGACAAATTAAATTAAATTAAATAGAGATTTGGTATTTTCTCCAAAATTATCTTACCTTAAGCTCTGTAATATTACATTTCATTTCTTCATGTTCTTTCTCAAGTTTTTGTAAGTCACTTATATGATGGCAATCGTTTTTATTGCAAGAAACACTGTTCTTTGTGACTTCATCTAACTGTTGTTTATGAAATTTTTCAAGTTTAGATATTTCTTCCTAAAATTGTTAGAAGTAAATTAGTATGCCAAAAGTATAAAAATAAAATTTAAATATCAATAAAATGTACATATTTAAAAAATAAGCTGTGTGGTATCACAACATTATATTATAATAGTATTTACAGCAAAACCATTTTACAAGAGACACCTTCATTAGTAAACTCTGCTTTTAGACAATGTTTCTGAAGTTTTCTTCAAGTTCTGACAATGTTTTCGATGTTGCCACAGTCCTCAGAATATTTGTTTATAAACAAGTTCCAATATTATAAGAGACAAGTACCATTTATAAAGAGGGTTTGCTATATTTATATCAGAACTAGTAAAATCTGAATTTGATCTAAACAAGCAGTGCCCCCCAAAATCTCTTTAACATATGAGTGAAACATTAAAAGCAGGTTTGAAGAAAAGTAACTACTTCCTGCAAAAGAATTTTAAATATTACAAAATTGAAATGGGCATTAAGGGATTTATGCATATATTAAGGATCTTGGGCACAAAGTACTCAAATTTTACATGATACATGAAAAAATTGTACATGACCTTATTCGAAAATCGATCTTTAAGGAACAGATTTTATTAAGGGAAAAAAAAACTCTTTAATATTTTAGTTGTGTGAAGACGCCGAAAAATTTTTGCAACTTATGAAAAATCAGGGTTTTCAAAGAACATGAGACCTGTACCATTCTCTTAAACGTCCTTCATACTATCAAAAACGTTGGAACCATTCTTTTGAAAATGTCCTAGGAGTTTCATGTGAAGTACCCCCCCCCAAAATTAAAATATCGGTTACAAATTCAAGGGGCCGCGATATCAGCTAGATCGATTGGGAATGTTAATTTTGGAGAAAATCGGCTGAACGGCGTGCAGCGCTTATACTGCAGAAAAATATGTGCTCTTGGAGGCTAGCGGCTAAAGCCACTAGCGTTGTACATTGACGGAAGGACACATTTTGCCATCAATAGCTTTTTCGGTATTATTGCCATCACAAAACATGGATTCTGGTTACACCACGTGTTAGAAATTTTTTAATAAAGTTAGCATCTGGATTAATCCACTTTTACGTCACCGAGGCCCTGTAATAAGAGATTTTCGGCCGAAAATTGAAATGAAATATGGCAAAAAAATGTTGAAATATGTACAGAAATAGTTAAGATATGCCGTGTTTGATCACAAAAAACGTATTATACAATGACATTACTTATTTTTGCCTTCTAGAGACTATGCAAATGCAAATCAAAAACTGATTAGTATCTACTTCTGGACATTTAATTTTGAATTAAGAGCACAGAAAGCCACAAAAAGTTTATAAATGTTATCTGTTATTAGGGAGTGTCTCCTATCAGATATTACAACTTTGTAGGTAGAAAATTATGTTTCGACATCACATGTTATTATGGGAGACAACGTTTATGCTCAATACATTGTCTGGAAGACGATAACTACACGAAGAATATAAACGAATATTTTCAGGTTTATAATAAGCCCCCAAATTTGCATTTTTTAAGAACGGTAATCCGTCTCCACACTAAGATGCGTCTCGCAACTATCGCAAATAGGGGGTGGGTCACCGCAGATATGTCCGTGGGAGAACTGGCAGTGACCGATCCGAAGGTGTGTCACGATCATCTTGCGCCTTGACCCACAAGATGAATAAGACCAAGGCTTTATGGAATCCTTGATTCTCGTGAGTTTAAAATCTGAGTTTGGCCACTCAGTTTGCCATGCACTGATAATACAAGGTTTGATAAACGGCTTGGCATCATTTGTTGGAACTGTGAGGATGTTTACCACAGTTTTCCTTGTGGCGAGCTTTGCTGCCTGATCAGCAATTTCGTTCCCTATTATCTCATGGAGACCAGGGATCCAACAAAAAAAACAAACAAATTATAACGACAAACTAGTAAATTATGGATTAGGTGTTGGGTGATCATTGTCAAAGGGTCACAAAAAGAGAAGCGGGAGATAGATTCGAGAGTGCCTTCTGATTCACAGCTTCTTTTAATATCATCAATTCAGCGAACTTAAGTGCCTCCAAGAGCGCATATTTTTCTGCAGTATAAGCGCTGCATGAAGTGTCTAGTCAAAGACTCCACGTGGTACTGTGGCAGTAGAAGGCACACCCTACATTACCATTTTGGGAGGAACCATCAGTGTATATGAAGGAATACATGGATTTCGTCTCCTAAAATTTCGCCAGAAATGTTCTGGGGGGAGTTGAGGATTTTGGGAAGGATGATAATTTCAGATTTTGGGAAGGATGATATTTTCTTAGTTCCTATCACACCCAGTATGTTGAAACAATTTAATGCCGTTAATGTGGGTCTTATATTATTTATTTTATGCTCTATATGTTATCTTTGTAGAAAAATTCTGTATAAGGGGGATTATCAAAAGTGTTTTTGGTACGTTCGGGAGAAACAAAGCAAATCCCGAGGACAGTGAATTGGCGTTCTGGAGGGGAGGTTTGTTATATCCCAACGGTACAGACGGTGCGTAGTACACCATGTACCCAAAAGAAGAGCAGGGCTTACGCCTTCAATTAAAAAATAAAGAAATGGCGTCCTCCCAATAAAGTTGTATTTTTGGGATTGCGGAGGAAGAGGCGCCTTCTGTAACCCCAATAAGTTACCGGATAGGGCTTGGAATATTCCGTCGATACTGAAGCCTGCCCCTTTGACCTCACACATAATTCAAAAGGTCACTTCAACCTTTCACCGCGCAGTGATATCCCGAGTTTCCCTCGCCTGAGGCGCTCTATCCCCTTCCCTGATAACGGGCCACCCGGAGCGCGCTTGCCTCTAACTGGCATGCCAAGTGTTACCCCCTTCTCCAACCTCTATCTGGAAACAGAAGTGGGGGTAGCGCGTATCGTACTGGAGCGCGTGCTTAAGGAAATATGTATTCTGTTCAACTACCATTTTGACTTTTCATTAGAAATTTGTGTTACTTTGTATTTTGCTTCTGTAATAAACTTAGTGTGTTGTTACTCTCTGAGTTTCATTCCACCGAGTCTGTTTGGAGAATCTGTCGACTAGCCATCGACATTATTTAACTCGAGCGCCTACGAACACTTGTTTTGAGAAAGCATTTATCACTTAAGGGTTCGCTTACCCTATATGTGACGACTATGAGTTCGGCTCTCAATGACCGGAGGGTCGATGGAGACGCTGATTCATAAACAATACACCCAAAATCTAAGATAGGACGGATTTATTTATTTATTTATTTATTCATTCATTTATTTACGCCAAAAACAGTTAAAAACTGTGTGACGTGCTATGGGGAGAAATTAATTTGAAGTTACATTTATGTCCAGAAGCAAAACAAGGGACCATCTCAGCATTTGCCCGAGGATCAGGGAAACTGGACGAAAACCTGATCGAGATGGGGGTCATTGACCCAAAAGCTGAAGTACAATACTTGTTAAAGTTCTTTACACTTGTACAATCCCAACGGTATAAAATACATTAAATGCCATTGTTAAAATTAATATTACTTTCCTTTTGAATGCTTCGAATTTTATATCGAATTTAATCGTTTAATGCCATCTGGCAAGGTGTTGTAAAACAATGTACATGTATTATATGTGAATTTTGTAGTGAGCTGTTGATACTGTCACCTGATGAATATGATTACTACGTCGAGTGTTGTAGTTATAGACAACGGTGTTTGCTGAAAATATATTCCCGCCCTTAAGTCATTTTAGACAAAAACCACCGATTCATGTATGAAGAGACAAGGTAAAGGTAAAATACCTAGATGAATAAAGAGAAGCTTACAAGAATCACGTGGGCTGGATTTGCTTATTATTCGTACAATTCGTTTTTGTTATCTTAAAGTCTGGGAACTATAAGATATATTTCCCCAGAATATTATGCCATATCTCACGCGGGGATGAACATTCGCGAAATATACATAACGAGCAGTGCGCAGGCTGACTGAATTTAAAAGAATTCTGAAAGCATGAAGAACTTAATTTAGTGTTCAATTCATTTAAATGCACGTCCCATTTAAGGTTTCACTGAATTGAAAGACTTAAAAATGTTGATACCTTAACATCAGTCAATGGCACACCGTTCATTTTCAGTGAAGTGCAGAGCTGTTTATTTGAAATGGACCGAGAGATATGTTCTGAGGGGGAGTGAGGATTTTTGGGAGCGCATGATAAATTTCAGATTTATTGGGAAGGATGATAATTTTCTTAGTTCACTATCACCCCCCAGTTATGTTGAAACAATTTATATGCCGTTAATGTGGGGTCTTATATTATTTATTTTTATGCTCCTAATATGTTTTCATCTTTGTAGAAAAATTCTGTATAAGGGGGATTATCAAAAGTAGTTTTTGGTACGTTCGGGAGAAAACAAAGCAAAATCCCCGAGACAGTGAATTGGCGTCTGGAGGGGAGGTTTGTTATTAATCCCAAACGGGTACAGACGGTGGCGTAGTACACCATGTACCCAAGAATGAAGAGCAGGGCTTACGCCCTATTCAATTAAAAAATAAATGAAATGGCGCTCCTCCCCAATAAAGTTGTTATTTTTTGGGATTGCGGAAGGAAGAGGCGCCTTCTGCTAATCCCCAATAGTTACCGGATACGGGGCTTGGAAATAATTCGTCGATACCTGAAGCCTGCCCCTTTGGGAACCTCACACATTAATTCAAAGGTCACTTCAACCTTTTCACCGCGCAGTGATATCCCGAGTTTCCCTCGCCTGAGGCGCTCTATCCCCTTCCCTGATAACGGGCCACCCCGGAGCGCGCTTGCTCTAACTGGCAATGCAAGTGTTACCCCCTTCTCCAACCTCTATCTGGAAACAGAAGTGGGGGTAGCGCGTATGGCGGTAGCGTGGGGTTAGCCGCGTAGCTGTAAAGAATAATATTGTATTCTGTTAACTACCATTTTGACTTTTTCATTAGAAATTTGTGTTACTTTGTATTTTTGGCTTCTGTAATAAACTTAGTGTGTTGTTTACTTACTCTCTGAGTTTTCATTCC